AGGACTGCAGACCATCCACAAAAACAACCCACCTTAAAAAGATTCAGCTCCCAATATCATTGTGATTAGTAGCTGTCTGAGCATCCCATAGCTCTTACCAGGCCTAAGGAATCATTGTGATACCCCCTAGTGTCAGGAAGGGCATCCCAAATCCCTCTGCATTCTCCTGCCGCGAAGTTATTGTAATAGTACTGTCAGGACTGCAGACCATCCACAAAAACAACCCACCTTAAAAAGATTCAGCTCCCAATATCATTGTGATTAGTAGCTGTCTGAGCATCCCATAGCTCTTACCAGGCCTAAGGAATCATTGTGATACCCCCTAGTGTCAGGAAGGGCATCCCAAATCCCTCTGCATTCTCCTGCCGCGAAGTTATTGTAATAGTACTGTCAGGACTGCAGACCATCCACAAAAACAACCCACCTTAAAAAGATTCAGCTCCCAATATCATTGTGATTAGTAGCTGTCTGAGTCGAACCTATCCTTATGATAAGGGATTCAGCAAACGGGGTTCATTGTGATCTCCTGTGGGTACTGAATCATTATCATCCTAACCTTCAACTGGACAACGGTCTTCGGACGCATTGTGCAATCTGCTGTATTGTGGTACCAGCTACCTCTCTCCAATCCAAAAGTCTAGCAGAGATAATAAAGTAAACAAAAATACTTCTTGTATGTATGTCAATTGTAGCCACCTATAACTCTCATTTCCAGCAATTTTCTGGAAATAACAAGAATTGGAGAACTGCATTTTTCACAGTATACCCTATTTTGAATTTTGAAATTTAAAGTCCAGATTCGACTTCAATGACCTCCAGAATCCTTAGAATACAAGACTTCGCGAGTGTACGAGAAATTCGCCAGACGAGGATCAGAATACAAAGGGGTGGTTTGTGTAAAAAAACAAAATACAACCAAATGGTTTTACAGCGAGTGACCTCCTTAATTAACGCATCAAAAGAATTTTGTAATAATTGGAAAGGCAAATTTAAGCAAGTGTAACATATTTTTTATATTCGACACTAGTAGCGAAAATCCGAGAACTAGCCTACGTCACCTTCGTCTGTCCACCATCCACATGCCAGGCGGACGCCAGCCAATTTTCAGTAAAGGTAGTACGAGCAATTTTTAAAACCGTTTTTTCGCCGATAAAATAAGACGTGACACTTAGATTTCGATGAAAAATAATATGTTCAAAAATGAACAAAATTGGAGTTTCACCGGAAATGGTTTCCCTGTCAATCCAGCACATGTTGCACTATTTCTATCAGACATCGAAAAGAAAGCTAACATGTGAACAATTAGGAGATGTAAAATTGAAAAAAGAAAAGTTCTGAATGCTTGCATATGCTGACAACTTAGTACTATGAGTAACAAAACAGGAAGAAATGAAGTACATGCTAAGGAGATTTGAAAAATACATGGAAAGAAGGGATGTATCTCTAAATACAAAAAAAAAATTAGATGCTTCCAAAAAGAAGGAAGAAGAAAGAAAAAAGAATGGATGTGAAAAGGAATAAAGGAGATAAAAGAAATAAAATACCTGGGGTACATATTCTAATCGAAAGGATAAAAAGGTGCGCCATATATTAGAAATATGAAAACGAAAGCGTAAACGTAATGGGACAAGTTTGAACAATAGGGAAGATAAGGTTTAATCCTAAAAGAAATACAGGAGTCCAGCGAGACCTCTCTCATCTATGCTACGTGTTTCTTCTAGGGTTAAGGACAGCTTCAAGAAACAGTTAATACTCTTTAACTATTTAGTTAAGGAGATAATTGTGTACAAAGCAGAAACTTCGAGAAACAGCAAAAGAAACTAGAAAGAACAGAGATAAAATATTTGAAATGGACATTATGTTTCGGCAGATGCACTCCGAGCTATATACCGGGTGCGGCGTTTATCCTAGCCATTTGGAATATCTCAGAAACTAAAGTCAGTAGAAAAAAAATGTTTAAAATAAAAAGTTTAAGGCAAGGAGGGACTGATCCAACAGTCATGTCCAATTTTAATTTTTATCATATTTTCAAGGTCATTCCAAGGTCAACTTTGGTTTTTCATATGGGAATATATATTTTTCATTAGATTCTTTTAATCTACGACTTAAAACAAGTAACTTTTGTTTGAAACGTTTTTTTCTCCGACGATTATTTTGTACAAAATAATGACTTTATTAAGGAAAAATAGAAACACACCTCAAGTACAAGAAAATCAATTTAATAAATATTCAAAGTGGCATAAATGACATGAATGATGGATTTATGGCATGAATGAAAACAAACAGTAAAAGTAACAGTAAACAGTATTTCGCTGTTTCGCGAAATGTTCTGTTTACTGTTTTTGCTGGTTTTTTTGGAATAAGATTCCACATTCTCTCGCACGCAATGAAAATTAAATTAGTTTCAAATCGCTTATCAATCATGGCACACACTTTAGCTCAGAAAATTGACATGATTATCATTTATGGCGAATCCAGGCAAAATGTAATGTAAGTAATAGCATTGTACACTGACAGGTTCCCCGAAAGGAATCATCCGTCGAGAACTACATTTCGGCATGTAATTTCGCAGTTCAAGGAAAGTGGAAATGTCAAAGTGAAAAAAAAAGTGCAAAAAGAAACGCAACCAATGAAATTAATCAAGTTGCAGTATTAGCCGCTGTTGCTCACGATCGTCATATTGGCTCCTGAGACATAGCATTTGGTTTCGGAATTTCTCAGAGAAGTGTTCTTGGAATATTGAAAGGACCATAAATTCCATCCATATCATCTATCATTGCATCAAGGACTACATGGGAATAACTTCCAAAATCGTATTGCTTTTTCCCAATGGGCACAAGAGATAATACGACAGAACCATGATTTTTTCTCAACGTGCTATTTTCTGACGAATCAACTTTTACCAACCATGGTCGAGTTAATCTCCATTATATGCAATACTGGTAGGTGGAAAATCCAAGATGGATAAGACAAGTTGAGCGTCAACACCCTTCGGTCCGTCAACGTTTGGGCTGGTATTATTGGGGCACACATAATTAGTCCACTCTTTTCTGATGCTAAATTGAACGGACAGAGATACCGTCGCTTTCTCCGTGACGACCTACCGTTACTTTTGGACGAATTGGACTTAAGGTTGCGACTCAATATGTGGTTTCAGCATGATGGCTGTCTGGCGCATTTTTCACACATTGCTCGACAACAGTTGGATCATGATTTCAACAATCGTTGAATAGGATGAGGTGATCCAGTGAGTTGGCCCGTTACATCGCCAGATCTAACCCCTCTCGATTTTTTCTTATGGAATTACCTTAAAGAAAAAGTTTACCAAGAGGCAACAACGACACGAAACGACATGACAGATCGTATTCGTCATGCCTGCCAAGACGTTCCGGCGGACATTCTTCTGCGATACAATAACTCATTCATCATTCCTCTTGAGAAATGTATTCAGGAACATGGCCAACATTTTGAACACTTATTAAATTGATTTTCTTGTACTTGAGGTGCGTTTCTTTTTTTCCTAATAAAGTTATTATTATGTAAAAAATAATCATCGGAGAAAAAAACGTTTCAAACAAAAGTTACTTGTTTTAAGTCGTAGATTGAGAATCTATAATGAAAAATATATATTCCCTTTTTAAAAACCAAAGTTGACCTTGGAATGACCTTGAAAACATGATAAAAATTGAAAATGGTTATAACTGTTGGGTCAGCCCCTTCTTGTCTTAAACTTCTTATTTGAAACATTTTTTTCTTCAGATATTAGTTTCTGACATATTCCAGGTGGCCAGGATAAACGCCGTACCCGGCATAATAGTACTAGATGATGTGAAGAGGGATAAAATAAGGATAACCCTCTAGTGTCACCGATGGGCAGATTCGCTAAACGTAGGAAATTGCAACAGAACGAATTCAAGAAAGCAATCAAATGTTGCTACTTCCTTTTCAGAATTTATAAGAAGAAATGTAGAAGCACAGTAAGCAACCGCATGACCGGTCAATGACTGTCGAAATCAACATCATAGTTTTTGAATTCGACACAAAATTCGTGAGTTCTATGAAAGACAATAAACAAAGTAATTCTATTAAAATTTAGTCCTTTTATTTCAATATGTGTCACTATTTTGCTCAAATTTATTCTCCAAAAAAGTTGGCACAGCATGAACTTAATCGGAAAATAAATTATACTTAATGTTAGCAAAGATTAGGTTAGGTTATTTATTAATAAACACAGTTGGAGCAGAGGAGTTGACAGGTGCTCAACCCATTGATCCGACGTCCGGCAACAGCTTGCAACACTAGGAACTGGCATCCGCAACATTGCTATGTACGAAATGTAGTAAAAATCATAGAGAATCAGGAAATGTTCGATTTTATGTTCCTGGGTTGCAAGATACAACTGAATTTTAAGAAAGTACAACTGAATACCGCGCTGTGTTACGTGTTCCGTCGCATTGTAGAAAGCCCTTAAAACCACAGATAAAATCTAGCTGTTGCTCCACGTGACTCACACATTCAGACTTCTGAAGCCTTATGACAGCAGGAGGTTATTAACTAAAAATGAACATTAGGTTTTGATGGATGTACTCCAAATTATATCGTAATGGAAAGATATAAAGAGAGAAATTAAGAATATCAGTAGAGAACGAACAATGAACCTTGAAGAAATGTCGAGATTTGCAGATGGAAACGAATTGTAAAGAAATATTTGGAGGAATAGAAAAAAGTAAAAACAAGTTGCAGATGAGACGACGTAGGAAATAAACAAATTATCAAATCAATGAATATTAATGGCAAGTATGCGAAAAATAAGATCTAAATCTTAAAAAGCTATTACAATATGGTGAGATAAAGAAATCTAAATACGATAAGAAATATATAAGAATAAAAAGCAAAGATCTCCCAAAAAATACATTTTACTTGTCGATAGACTATAGACTATAGACCATCAAAAAACGTGCAGATTATATCGGAGTGAAAAAGTATATAAGGTATGAAAACGCAGCCATTTTTTAATACGAGGGAAAAGAGAAAAAGGTTGGAATAGGTGATGAAATGGAGGAAATGGGCAATACAAATAATTTGAGTATTTTGTATTTTAGATATTTTGAAAACCTTCTGAACGTTTTCGTTTGAAACAATCTTCTGCATTGTGTCCTAATTTTTTGCAAAAGGTGCACTCAATGCTAGTGCGAATAGGTGTAATTTTGTGTTCCTTTGACGTATTTTGTTTGTTGGTGTTAGATGGGGTTTGTATACCTTTCTTGAGTTGCATGTAATGTTGCGTTTTTTTATCAGCTTGTCTAACGGCTAGAATTGGTTTTGATAACGTATCAAGAGGGGTGTTGGATGGTATTCTAATAAGTATTTCTGGATTTACGTTTTGAATAAATCCTTCTGCTGTTTGTTCATTTATCTTTTTTTTTAGTCTTGCTTCATCTACTATAATTCCTTTAGAAATTAGTTTTTTCCGATGCGCTACTTTTAACTGATCTACCGTTTCTCGATAACGACTGATAAATGATGTGATTGTTTCATTATCCTCTTGGAATATTTTAGCTAATTCCGATGCGCTTCTTTTAACTGATCTACCGTTTCTCGATAACGACTGATAAATGATGTGATTGTTTCATTATCCTCTTGGAATATTTTAGCTAATTCTCCTTCACATTCTCTAACTGAGAGGGTATCTGAGTACATTAAATCTAGCTCGTTAATAAAACCTTCGAAATCATTTATACCTTCATAGATGATCATTCTTCTAGCTTCCCCTCTGAGTTTATTTTTGAGTAATCTAATTAATGGTGAAATTACGGCTGGTGATACCAATTCCTTTGCATTTTTACAAGCTTGGATAAAAGTATGAACAGAAATATTTGAGCCATCGAAAGTTGGTACCCCTTCTAATGCATCTTTCAACGAAGAATGTGGTAAATAGATAGAGGTTGTTGATGGTTGTATCTGAGGTGTTGGTACATCTGGTATAGATGGTACCGTTGGGATTTGTTGAACCTGCGACATTGTTATATTGATTAATTCTGGTTCTGTTAAACTTTGAACTCCTTCTAAATATCGGGAATAGGCTCTAGTGGAAGGTCTCGTCATAACATTTCGAACTCATCAAACCATCCCACCGCTTCCACCAATTTTAATGTTACGATTGCTAAATCCGGAAAATCAAGCAACGTAAATGAAATTTGTAATGTAAAGGATGATTCGTTGGTTCGGTCTACTTTAATAGCACGTCCATGTGTTAATATAGTCGATGTGACTCCCCTTCCTCAAGATTCCTTACATATCGATTGACAACTAACCTTTTTCCGATAATCTACATACCAAGTCGTACTCTGTAATTTGAATCTCCTTGAATGTTATCCGAGAAGATTCAGGCTTATCCTTTTATTTATATCTTCATTGTTCGATATTAACAAAGTAAAATTCAGTATTTAATATTGTTAGTGTATCGTTAATAATGTATTATCCCTGGATTAATGATTATATGATTAAATGATTATTATGATTATATGATATTAGAATATATGATATTAGAATATAATGTGTTTTGCCTATTAATAATTATAAGGAGTGGAACGTAACAATAACAATTGAACATACATATACTGAAGTTCTATTTCAAGGCCAAAATAAAAATGTTGGAACAATTTACCTTTAACTCTTACATTTTGAATATCTTTAAGAAATCGGAAACTTACTGTAATTTTTTTCTCTATAGCAGGCATGTTTCAAGTTATTCACATACTCTTCTTCGACTGACACTTCCAGTCTACGTAAACTGCCTTGATATTCACTATGAAAATTTTCTTTCACATAATATTGCACTTTCATTCCTTGAGTCGTTCTTTGTACAGAATATTTCCTGAACAGAAAAACACGAACAATCATCATCAAACCAAATGATAGCATGTTTTGGCAAATAGAATTACAAACAATTATATAAGAAATAAATCATAGAAAACTTTAGGAATTGAAATTAGACAATATTACATCTGATATAATTATTCATTCACACTTGACAACAAAATTTTTACGTTCCCGATATGTTACATACGTAGCCATAATAACTCAAAATCAAAATATCAGAATCTTTAAATGAAATCAATTTGTACAAAGTACTTACGCATTTGAATGTAAACTGTATACGGGATCAGATATAAAGAAACTGCTCATCATTGTTAAAACTATCAATAATAGTACAGGCAACATTTGAAGGAATGCTGTGTATCCATTTGTTTGCTGCAATAAAAAATAAAAAATTGAGATTATTAAATAAATTAAATAAGAGTTACAGAGCATATCGAGTATCTTAACACATTGTGAATGAGACATTTTATTGCTAACTATACTGAGTAGCCAGCTATATTTTTAGATAAGCAATAAATATGAGGTATCTCGTCATCGGCCTTTAACGATGGTATACGAAACGTGAGATGTTCCGTCATCCGTCAAAATGTATTTAAAGAAAAATATTTAATACTTTTTCCCTCGTTTCCTATGTAATAATCAAAAGATTCACTATCATTATTCAATTACATTTCGGGAAAAAATTGGTTAAATTCGGAACTTCATCTAAAAGAATTATCGGTACGGACCAAGATCTTGTATACAGGTCTGGGCAGTTAGGCGAAAACGCGTAACCTTAAGGTGGATCTACCGCAAGAGGCGTTAGTGTTGAAAATGCGAATCACGTGGTAGCACTACGCGTGCGCAGTTATCTTTTTCTTGAATAAGTGAACTGCAGCTTTGTTCGTAATGTGTAATATATACCGTGATTGGAATTGAAAGAAACAAGAATGAACAAAAAGTGCATTGTGCCTGCTTGAATCACAATAGTAGGAATTTGCATTTGAAAATCTCACAGGAGTTACAAATAAATTCAGTAAAAAAGTTACAATACAAGTAAAAATTGACTGACATAAGGCTGCTTTCACAATAATATAGAATTATTAAGGCTTTCATGTGAAGCGCGTGTGCATGCGCGTACGTACGTGTGTATGTGTGTGCTTTAACATAGTTCCCCGTATTTTAGGTGACAATTTTTAGATATATGGTATTTCCAGATGCTCCTCTCCGTAGTTTTCTGTAACTAGGTGTCGGATGTGGAAGTCCAGGGTGTCCAGGTGTTCCGCTCCGTAGTTTCTTGTATCTAGGTGTCGGGCGTGGAAGTCCAGGGTGTCCAGGTGTTCCGCTCCGTAGTTTCTTGTATCTAGGTGTCGGGCGTGGAAGTCCAGGGTGTCCAGGTGTTCCACTCCCTAGTTTCTTGTATCTAGGTGTGGAGGGTCGGGCGTGGAAGTCCAGGGCGTCCAGGTGTTCTGCTCCGTAGTTTTTTCCATCTAGGTGTTAAATGTGAAAGTTCAGAGTGTTCAGGTGTTCCTCTCCGTAGTTTCTTGTATTTAGATATCGGATATCCAGGGTGTGCAGGTGTTGCGCTTCGTAGTTTCTTGTACCTAGCTGTTAGATGTGGAAGTTCAGAGTGTTCAAGTGTCCCTCTGCATAGTTTTCTGTGTTTAGGTTTCCTGTTCTGAACCGATCGGCACCAAGATAGATATATTCTAATATTTATTATGTTCTTGTTGAAATAGAAAACAAAAATCTAGAACAATTAATACTACAATATATTGTATCGCACTAGATCAGTTGAGTGATTGCCTTAAGATATCGAATGAGGACTTTACAAATATTAAATCTGTAATACTCTTTTAGTTTAAGTATATTTACCCTTCATTCAAGTAAATATTATTAATTATTAGAAACTAATCACATGCAAGTTTTGATAAAAATTTGCATACAAAATTTAACCATTAATTTTATTTTTATCTATTAAACATTCAACCACAGATTTCATAAAAACAAATTAAATGAAAAATATATATTTTGAAGAAAAATTTACTTTGATTTTTGGTTTGAACTAAATGTGTAACTGATTGTAAGCGTGCAAATGAGGAGGAAAT